ATGTTTTATGGGTGCATTTAATGTTATTGATGCTAGTAACATTCACATTTTCTTGTACGCATTTGTTTCTGCCTCGTTTCTCTCCTTTAACAACTTCATTGTAATGATTTTTGTTTTAAATTCTCTTTAATTTTCATGTGAGCTTTTATTTCTTATATTACTAATATTTTTCTCTTATGTAAAAAAAAAATATTCTAAAGCTGAGATGTCAGATAAAAATTCAGCTGTTTCTGTTCATATTAAGGATAGCCAGAAAGTGTGCATTGTCTGGATAATTGCAATTTATGATTTAAAAATAATTCTTTCTTCTCTAATTATTGTACAGAAAGCACAAATTGATGGAGGTATAGATACTTTTGATTACTATTAATCTTTTAAGGATGAAGCTGCCATAGGGTCGGCAGAATTGCAGTGGGTATAAATGTTCACACAAATACACTGCTCTAGACATTGTACATGAAATTTAAAAAAAAAAAAAAACAGGGATAACTGGATAGCTTAGAGGCTGGACACTTATCTGAAGTTCTTAGGTTCAAATCCACATCCAAACAGATTGTTTTCACAAGTGACCTTGTTTCCCAGGTCAGCCCAGCCTAAAATGGGTAACAGGTATCGTAATGTTGACCACATAACCCTGGGAATGCCGATTGATCAGTGAAAATATGAGCCTTGTATTGTGTACCCAAGTGGCATGAAAAGGGGTCTTTTACTAAAACAAATAACATCCCCATGTGGATGTCAGGGTCCCAGTTGGGAGGGGGTGGGGGGGGGGGGGGGGGGGGTAGACTAGACTTACTGTCCCCTAACAAGCATCTCTTGAAAGTTGACTAATTAGGGCTGTTTCCTGTGTAGTCGGAATGCACCTGCCTGAGAGGCAAGGAACCAACAGTCTGCATACACATAAGCCAGATCTGTAAATCAGATGTGCACACAGAACTCAAGTTGGGGAACAAGATGAAGTGAATGAACAACTAGAACTCTGCCGGAGTTTACAGCCGATGAATGGGAAGAAGAAGAAGAAAGAAAAAAAAAAAAACAGTGCATGAGAACTGGTCAGCCGCCTCACACTCAGTTTAAAGACTTCACAGCAATCAAGCAGCTCGACTACCAATCATCTGTTAAACAGAGTCACCTTGCGGCACAAAATGGTAATTGACAAATGAAAAAAGAAGACCAGAAAAAAAGAAACTTTTGCGACTTTACAGCGTCACAGCATATTGAGGAACTGAGTGCGCCCTAGTTAAGCTATCGATTATCGGTTAAACTGAGACACCTAGTGGCACAAAATAGGTATTGACAAATGAAATAAAAAGACCAGAAGAAAGAAAATTTGCGACTTTACAGCATCACAACATATTGAGGAAACTATTGTACCTTAGTTAAGCTATCGATTATCGGTTAAACTGAGACACCTAGTGGCACAAAATAGGTATTGACAAATGAAAAAAAGAAGACCAGAAAAAAAAAAAATTTGCGACTTTACAGCATCACAACATATTGAGGAAACTATTGTACCTTAGTTAAGCTATCGATTATCGGTTAAACTGAGACACCTAGTGGCACAAAATAGGTATTGACAAATGAAATAAAAAGACCAGAAGAAAGAAAATTTGCGACTTTACAGCATCACAACATATTGAGGAAACTATTGTACCTTAGTTAAGCTAACGATTATCGGGTAAACTAAGACACCTAGCAGTACTGAGTGGTTATTAAAGAAAGAAAGAAGAATACTGACCTAGAAAGAAAAGAAAAAAAAATTCACAACATCACAGCATATCAAGGAACTGAGCATGTTCTTGCTCAGCTGCCAATCTGTTGCACTGAGCAGAGATTGACAACAGAAGACTTTTTGACTCAGAGGAAAGGAAATATGTGCATCACACCATGATGTTTACAATGAAGATTGGATTACACATCTCACTCAGTTTGGGGGGAGGGTTTACAAAACTAGCTTTTCAGTTGTGTTTCTCTTGAATGTTGTAGATTTTGGCTGTTATCCAACAAATGGTGATGGTGGTTGGTTGAATGATTAATCTTTTTCATTGGTCAAACAGGAACCAGTTCAAAACAAACACCAGCAAACAGTTTTCTAGACAGAAGGTGAGGCCTCCATTTTTTCCTGGGTTTGCTCTATTTCTTGTTTTCAGTTTTGTATTATCATTTCATTAAAAAAATATATAGATATCAGATAGTTATGCTTTTAGGGGTTTTAAGATAGATCAATGCCCCTTAAAAGTAATGTCATAAAAGAATAATTAACGATTTCGATGGGTTCAGACACGGATGGAGCCTGCTTTTCAAACAAATGACCTTGCCTCCATGGTCAACCCAGCCTTAAATGGATACCAGGTAAATTCCTGGGAAGTAAAGGCCACAGGACCCACCAAGTACTGATTAGTCTATAAGATAGGTCTAACCTTATATACCCAGTACACCTGAAGGTGTGGGAAAGGGTCCTTTACTTTTTAATTAAGGATTTGCTGTAATTAGATCAACTAATTAAAAATTTACTGAAGTCACTTGGGCTGAAATGTGTGGATGTCATAGCCTAGCTGTGAACCGCAACATCCCAGTTGCACTTTAAAAGGGTGAGCACAAAAACAGGAAGAGGAAAAAGGGTTTCATTATTAGAGCCATCTGGGGCTGTTCAGGTTAGACAGGCAAAAAGTCCCTCACCTTACTAAGGATTCAAACCTGGTTCTCTTGCATGAGAACCCAGCATTCCAACTGTTCAGGTTACTTACACCATCAGTAGCTAGCTTAACCCAATTTCCCAGAGAAAGCTGATTTTCTGACTTTTAGGGGTTTTTGGTGACTTCACATCTTTGAGAGTGGTTGCTACGCCTATAGCTGTGGTACTGGTTGCAACTGCATAGTGTATAGATGTGGTGGGTATAATTATATATATATTTTTTAATGTTGAGATTTTATTGGGGATGATTGTGACATCATAAAAAAACATTTGGTAATGCAACTTTGCTTCCGTGACTGTCTCAACAGAACCTCTGTTTTCTTGCTAAAAGGAAAGAGCAGGACAGCACAGTTGTTTCTTTGCTAGTGGTTATTTCCCTTCATAAGAAAATCATTGTAGCCAAAATAATGATTCTAAATATATGAAAAATACATCTCAAAACTACTTGGGGGCTGCACGATGATGCAACAGCTAGCAGGTTTTCCTGTCACACAGTGGTTACAGGTTTCAACCGCTCAAAAAGGTGACTTATTACCTTTCATTGTAGTTTTTCACCCAGGCCCGCCAGTCTTGTACTCATGTGCTCAAATTCCTTCTTGATTTAAAGATATTTGACCCAGATTGAGTATGTACCCAGCAGATGATGTTATCAACATCATGCTAGCCAGCTTTGCCTCCCGAGATATTTCCTGATACTCATTTCAGCCTGTGGGCTCTTGATAAATCATAAAAATCTGCCTCACTGCAGATTTGAACCCAAGAGCTTTGGGCTGGCAGGTAGGCAGGCATCCAGCCACTATGGTTGTTCAGTTGTACGCCTAAGAAAAACTAATCGGATATTTGTTTATTTCTCCCCAGCAGCGAAAATAATCAAGGTAGACGATTCTCCACAAGTCAGGGTAAGTGGTTTTTGTTACACATTGTCACCTTCGTCAAAATCATCATCCTCCTCCTCATCATCACTGTCAACAACAGCATCATCATCATCAACGTCAGCATCATCATCGTCAACACAACCACATCAACATCTTCAGCACCACCAATATTGTCTGCATCATTAACATTACCATCGTCATCATCAGTATCGCTAACATCCTTATCATCTACGTCACTGCTGCTTTTGTCATCACAGTCATCAGGATCAACATCATCACAACACCACCACCATTATCATTAAGATCATCATCAGCATCATCATCGACAACATCACCACTGTCAACATTATCGTTAAGATTGTCGTCATCAGCAACATTATAACATCACCACATAAGTCAAAATTATCACCACCACCATCATTATTTTTATCACTGACATCATCATCACCACCATCATTATTATTATTTTCACTGGCATCATCACCACAAACGCTATCAACATCATCATCATCATCCCTCTCTTCAATATTATCAACATCATTATCATTAAGTAGTTCAGCTCATGTGTTAGTTATGGAGATTCCTAGTCATTCTCAGTTGCCCATCTAGTAATCTTAGTGTCAGCTTCATAGCAAACGAGTCACCCCGTAGTTGCTCCGCTCCTGTGCCAACGAAAAACACACAGAATGTTCATCACAGTCCTTTGTGGAAAGATTGACAGACAGCTGTCTCAGAATATGCACTAGCATACACACACATTAAAAGCATACAGTAGCCATCAGAAATGCTAACACAAACAGTCTGACATTAGAAATGCAATTCATCATCGGCAGTAGCAGAAGTTACCAACAGATCAGCAGTTGCACACACGATCAATTTTAATCACAGAAGGGCACCGCCAATATTGTGACGACAAGCCACGCGCCATTTTCTGAATCTACAGTTCACAACACCACGTTGGTCACAGTCGAAAAACATTCCAAATGAAATCCGCAGCTCACAGTGTCGCACCATGCACACAACTGAGTAATATTGTTCTCATGTTTCCTCAGCATGGGTCCTATCTAACGCCAGCATAATTTCTTCATCTCTTGATTCACAGGAGTTGGCTTAGTTCTCTCCCAAAGCTCTACATTAGTGATTCTATCATACCATTTAATTCCCTTGATTTTGTGCAGGCGCCAGTTAATGAATTTTTGTAGTTTATTAGTAACTGCTTTAGCATGTTTCTACTCCATGCAACAATACCGATTTTAACATCAGAATTACAAATTTTAATTTTCATATCAGCTTTAATTTCTTTTGACCTCCACAAATTTCCTCATGCTATAAAAACTTCTTTTTCATTTTGTATTCATATAATAATCCAGGCTAAGATTGTGCTCCATTGGCTGACTTGAGATTTACAGGTTGTTTTTTTTTTTTTGCAGAAGAAAGACGGAAGACAGATCTGAGGTTGGATGGCTCTGCTGTACAGAATAAATCACAGGTACCATCAGTAGAGAACTATATGTTGTTTATAAAAGTAAATCAGAATAAATCACTGGTACCATCAGTAGAGAACTATATGTTGTTTATAAAAGTAAATCAGAATAAATCACTGGTACCATCAGTAGAGAACTATATGTTGTTTATAAAAGTAAATCAGAATAAATCACTGGTACCATCATTAGAGAACTAAATGTTGTTTATAAAAGTAAATCAGAATAAATCACTGGTACCATAAGTAAAGAAATATGTGTTATTTATAAAAGTAAATCAGAATACATTACAGGTGCCATCAGTAAAGAACTATATGCTATTTATAAAAGTAAATCAGAATAAATCACAGGTACCATCAGAAAAGAACTATATGCTGTTTGCAAAAGTAAATAAGAATACATCACGGTTACCATGAATAAAGGACTATTTGCCATTGATAAAAGTAAATCACAGGAACCATCAGTAAAAGACTATATAAAAAGTTACATATCCTTTACAGGGCATTGCAGAACCAACCCTAGCATTTTTTGGCTGTTGTTGTTTTTCTAAGCAAATTTATGTCCAGTAGTCTGCCATTGCTTTCTGGACTGTCGGCTTCTTGATACCACTGTCGAAAACAACGCAAGGCCCGCAGCTGGGATCGAACTCGGCACCCCAGCATTACGGAGCTTATTCGCAACGCCTAAGCCACAGGCGCAGACTAAAGAACTGTATGCTATTTACAAAAGTAAATCAGAATAAATCACAGGTACCATCAGTAAAAAACGGTATGCTATTTATAAAAGTAAATCAGAAAAAATCACAGGTACCATCAGTAAAAAACGGTATGCTATTTAAAAAAGTAAATCAGAATAAATGACAGGTTTCATCATTAAAGAACTATATGCTGTTTATAAAAGTAAATCAGAATAAATCACTGGTACCATCAGTAAAAAACGGTATGCTATTTATAAAAGTAAATCAGAAAAAATCACAGGTACCATCAGTAAAAAACGGTATGCTATTTAAAAAAGTAAATCAGAATAAATGACAGGTTTCATCATTAAAGAACTATATGCTGTTTATAAAAGTAAATCAGAATAAATCACTGGTACCATCAGTAAAAAACGGTATGCTATTTATAAAAGTAAATCAGAAAAAATCACAGGTACCATCAGTAAAAAACGGTATGCTATTTAAAAAAGTAAATCAGAATAAATGACAGGTTTCATCATTAAAGAACTATATGCTGTTTATAAAAGTAAATCAGAATAAATCACAGGTACCATCAGTAAAAAACGGTATGCTATTTATAAAAGTAAATCAGACAAAATCACAGGTACCATCAGTAAAAAACGGTATGCTATTTAAAAAAGTAAATCAGAATAAATGACAGGTTTCATCATTAAAGAACTATATGCTGTTTATAAAAGTAAATCAGAATAAATCACTGGTACCATCAGTAAAAAACGGTATGCTATTTATAAAAGTAAATCAGAAAAAATCACAGGTACCATCAGTAAAAAACGGTATGCTATTTAAAAAAGTAAATCAGAATAAATGACAGGTTTCATCATTAAAGAACTATATGCTGTTTATAAAAGTAAATCAGAATAAATCACAGGTACCATCAGTAAAAAACGGTATGCTATTTATAAAAGTAAATTAGAATAAATGACAGGTTTCATCATTAAAGAACTATATGCTGTTTATAAAAGTAAATCAGAATAAATCACAGGTACCATCAGTAAAAAACTGTATGCTATTTATAAAAGTAAATCAGAATAAATCACAGGTTTCATCATTAAAGAACTATATGCTGTTTATAAAAGTAAATCAGAATAAATCACTGGTACCATCAGTAAAAAACGGTATGCTATTTATAAAAGTAAATTAGAATAAATGACAGGTTTCATCATTAAAGAACTATATGCTGTTTATAAAAGTAAATCAGAATAAATCACAGGTACCATCAGTAAAAAACGGTATGCTATTTAAAAAAGTAAATCAGAATAAATCACAGGTTTCATCATTAAAGAACTATATGCTGTTTATAAAAGTAAATCAGAATAAATCACTGGTACCATCAGTAAAAAACGGTATGCTATTTATAAAAGTAAATCAGAATAAATCACAGGTTTCATCATTAAAGAACCATATGCTGTTTATAAAAGTAAATCAGAATAAATCACAGGTACCATCAGTAAAGAACTATATGCTACTTCATCATCATCATCATGTGCCTTGCCAACTGGCTTAGGCACTCGTGCATCTTCACAGATCACGACCCTTGGTTGCCTGGAACAGCTCTCTTGATGATATCCCTCCATGCCATCGTTTGAGCCTATCCAGCATCGTCTCTCTTGGTCTGCCTCTAGCCCTCTTTCCATTGATCTTTCCAGTTGTCGTGATGCTATTTATAAAAGTAAATCGGCCTTTTCACTCTGTCGGGTATGTGGTAGATAGTTTGTCCCCGCCAGGATTACAGTCTGCAGAATTAACACCTCAAAGATGACAATCCTACAGGTATGAACAAACCTTATTTTCAAAGGGTCACAAATTGGGCACACAGGCCCGTCTTACATTCGGCCCTTCCAATCACCTATCTTTTGCCAGCGTTGTAGTTTACCAGTTAGGCATGTTATGATCCATGATGATATGCATATTATGAATATCACAAAAGCATGGGTTGTAAAATGCTTGCAAAAACTTGCGCGTGCATACACATGCCGACCCACTCACTGACACACATACATGATTGCATACATACATTTGTTCTTACGTACGTACATACATACATATGTTTGTATGTACGAACATACATACATACGCTCCTACGTACTTATGTATATGCATACGTTCCTACGTATGTACGTTCATACATACATACGTGTCGTACATACATAATACATACATACATTCATACATACATATGTACACACATACATAAGTACTTTGTACATGCATACGTTTGTACATACATACATTCATACATACCTCCATTCGTACGACTGTACGTACATACATACATACATACATTCATTCATACATATGTTCATACTTACATACATACATACATACATACATACATACATACATACATACATACATACATACATACATACATACATACATATGTTCGTACGTATGTACATACAACATAAACACATCCCACATCCTCCCACATGTGTCTACATAAGTGCACTAATCTCGGGTACAAATCTGGAAGACCGGTTTAATTTGCAGGCTCCCAATGGTTGCCTAGTAACGCAAACTGCAGGCCATACAGGGATTAAAAAAAATATATGTATACAATTTATTGAAGGGGATTGTATCACTTACGGAGAGATCTGTGGAAGGAGATTGTGTCACTTATGGAGAGATCTGTGGAAGGAGATTGTATCACTTATGGAGAGATCTGTGGAAGAAGATTGTATCACTTATGGAGAGATCTGTGGAAGGAGATTGTATCACTTATGGAGAGATCTGTGGAAGAAGATTGTATCACTTATGGAGAGATCTGTGGAAGGAGATTGTATCACTTATGGAGAGATCTGTGGAAGAGGATTGTATCACTTATGGAGAGATCTGTGGAAGAAGATTGTATCACTTATGGAGAGATCTGTGGAAGGAGATTGTATCACTTATGGAGAGATCTGTGGAAGAAGATTGTATCACTTATGGAGAAATCTGTGGAAGAAGATTGTATCACTTATGGAGAAATCTGTGGAAGAAGATTGTTTCACTTATGGAGAGATTTGTGGAAGGAGATTAGGGCACTTATAAGATCTGTGGGAGAAGGTTGGGGCACTTATGTAGAGATAGTGGGAGGAGATTTGGGCACTTAAGTAGATATCTGCAGAAGGAGATTGGGGCACGTATGTAGAGATCTGTGTAAGGCAATTGGAGCACTTATGGAGAGATCTGTGTGAGGAGATTAGGGCACTTATGGAGAGATCTATGGAAGGCGATTGGGGCACTTTTGTAGAGATCAGTAGTAGGTGATTTGGAGCACTTATGGACAGGTCTGGGTGCATTGAAATTTATCATTGACCAGTACTTTCTTCTTCTTTTGTCAAAATCTGCTTGTGCCGCTAGGCGTCGCAGTCTATCAGATGATCGGCAACCGAGCCAGGGCACGCTCAGTCGCTTCATATGCTGTGATGTTATGAAGTCTCAAGTTGTCCGTGACTCCTTCAATTCATCTTCTTCTTGGTCTTCCCCTGCCTCTTGGTGTTTCGATTTTCATGTTGTATGCTCTTGATGTGGCATCGTTGGTTCCATTCTCATTAGGTGACCAAACCATTTCATTCTTTGCTTCTCAATAAATTTAACGATATGTATGGTTCCAATAGTTCTTGTAATCACATCGTTTCTCACTCGATCTCTTCTGGTTTTATTCGCAGCCATTCTCAAACATCTCATTTCACAGTTGGTGTTGACCAGCACTACTAAAAAAAAAAAAAAAAACCTATGTAAATTGTAGTCCACTCAATTCTCATTGATTTTTTTCAAGTGGCAGACCAAACGAAAGTACCGAGCTCTCTACGACTGTGAGGCTGATAATGAGGATGAACTGACTTTCCAAGAGGGGGAGATAATTGTTGTACTCCATGAAGAGGAAGAGGAGTGGTGGGTAAGTACTTGAGAGTTGTCTCCAGTTATTTCTGTAGGGGCCAATCAGTAGATGTTAATTTCTTAAATCACTGCTTATTACGCCATTCTGAAGGTCTTGGGTTCGAATCTGCATCAAGTCTTCTTTTTTTCCCCCATGGCTGCCAAGTCGACCTAGCTGGTACTACCTGTCTTCTGTCAATGTTGAATGATGGATGGCATTTACCAAACCTGACATCCCACATTGTGCCAAGAACTTTGGGCGGGGGAGTACATGGGGAGGATACTAGCCTTATGCTAGAAAAAGGAAATGCCCCATGAAAACTGTACGCTATGGCAGGGCAGACCATGCCCTAAGCCTTGGCCGACAGCTGGTCTAGCTAGGTGGGGGGAAGCTCCAACAGGCGGAAAGAGCACTGCTCTGGCAGCTTCTGCAGCGTGCTTTGTTTAAAACGTACTGGTGTTACTTTTCCTTCAGAGTAAAAAGGTAGGTGTCGAGAGAGGGGTCATGATGCATGGGGAACATATGATATCTATAATACTAACCAGGCTTCATGCTATGGAAACCCGCCATCGCCATGGGTGCGAGTGCCATACTTCCTGGAATGGTACCAACAACTATGCATTATATTTTTTGTTTAGTCTTCTTCTGTATTTTGACTTATATAGGTGGTTGACACATTGTTTTGTGGTTTACAGGTAGGCTGTGCTATCTGTGCCTTTTTGCCCAACTCATCTAATTTCAGCAATCTCTTAATGACTCTGGGTACCACTATGGTGTAGCGTTTGGACGCTCGCCTGCGGATCAGAAGGTCATGGGTTCAAGTTCTGATGAAGCAGGATTTTTTAAATTTTTTTCAAAAATGACCTTGACTCCCAGGTCGACTCAGCCTTCAGTGGGTACCAGGTGCAGTCCTGGGAAGCAAGGGCGGCAGACGTGATGCTGACTACATCACCCGCCAAGTGCTGATTGGTCTATAAAAATATAGGTCTGGCCCTATATGCCCAATACACCTAAAGGTGTGGAAAAGGGACCTTTACTTTACTTTTTTAATTTAACGGGGAGGGGGGGGGGGGGGTTAGTATAACAGATTATTACAATTATTACAATGAGTCAGATCTGTAAAACGGATGCACATGCAACACTTAGGTTTTGGAACAGGACTGCAGTCCAGAAGTGGATGAACAACCAGAACTTTCCGCCAGAGTTTATAGCTGGTGACCGCAAAGAAGAAGATTACAATACAAACGCACTCAGTTTTATTTATGTTCCCTTGACCCGCGCCACAGGTTGAAAACCATCGGATTGTTGGCTGTGAAACATTTTCCTTTGTTTTGCTGGTCCTGATTGAAAAACACTGTTCTTGACAGTAGACAACCAAACCCCAAGCCATTATGTCAGTAAGACACCGAACTAACCACTGTGCCACCTTGATTGCACAGTATCCCATAAGTTTTCATACGTAAGAAACATAAACATTGTTTTTTTTGTGTTTTTTTAAATGAAAACCTTTTTTTTTCTTTCCCTGCCACCTGTGAGTGATTGACAATATGGTTAACGCCTGTGAATGAGTGACCCCAACAAAGTTGTAAGTGTGATGTTTGATAGCAAGTGCAGTCCTGATCAGTTAAAGGTATAACCCAGAACTGTTCACTTGAGTCGAGGGATTAAAATTCAGCCTGGATCAGTTCAGCTCAAACTATGCTCTACATCAGTGATTCCCAAACTGTGCTCCGCGCCGCCCGGGGAGCCGCGACCTCCTCACAGGGACGCCGTGAAATATTCTAAGATACACAAATTTTATTTTTCTTACATACGAATAGTCATTAATTTTACTTAGGGTAGGGCACCGTGGAAAATTCTCATTGAAAAAAGGCGCCGCGACTAAGAACAGTTTGGGAAACACTTCTCTACATGACTACCATTGTTCTGAAAACATGTTTTTATGCATAACCTCCACTGGTGAAGAGCATGCATAAGCACAGCTGGCATTGTGCTTGAGGTGGCGTTGGTGATGTGTTTATTTTTTCCTATCTATGGAAACTTTTGGGACACCCTGTAATTTCAGTTTCTGGTTTCTGGGAATGTTATAAAAAATCTCAAGTGGTTTCTGTTTCAGGAAGGAGAGATTGAAGGGCAGCCACATCGGCGAGGTCTGTTTCCTCTCAGCTTTGTCACACCGGTGAATGATTGAAGGCTTGGACACACCGGTGAATGATTAAAGGCTTGGTCATACCTGTGAATGATTGACGGCTTGGTCACACCAATGAGTGATGGATGGCTTGGTCACACTTTGGAATGATTTACAGCTTGGTCACACCTGTGAATGATTGAAAACTTGGTAACTTTTGTGAGTGATCGACTTCTGATGGTCATACCTGTGAATGATTGATAACTTGATCACACCTGGGAAAGATTGACAGCTTAGTCACACCTGTAATTGATTGACAACTTGTTGACATCTGTGAATAATTGACACCATCAAATTTCTGAGTGTGATGTTGATTTCAAGTGCAGTCCTGAATCGTTTTAACATTGTTAGTCCATATGGCTTCAAGTATGGCCCAGAATTGTTGACTCGAGACAATGGACTGAAATTATCCTGGATTTAAATCAGCTCAACTTGAATCCCTGTGCCCCCATGACATTTGTAATATTTATTTCAGTTTACTAGAATGTTGGCTACAGAACACATTTACTGAGAAGTGTGGGAATCTTATCTATGAGTGATTTCAGTTTTGTTTTTAATTCAATCATTTTTTTCCTCATTCATCAGTCCATTCACTCAGTCCTGCATCCATCTGTTAACGTGTCCATCCATTCATTCATTCATCTATCCACAATTCCTTTCAAGCATTCATCCATCCTTTTATTTATTCCTTAGGATATGTTAGCAGCAGAATAGAATTAAATAAAACATGAAATCTAAGTTTACTTGAATGTTAATTGTTTACTGTATGCTATGACATGTTTTTAGTCGCCGTGGCGGAGCGGTTAGATGCTCGACGTGGATCGGAAGGTTGAAGCTGGACTTTTCTCAAAAATGACCTTGGCTCCCAGGTCGTCCCAGCCTTGATTGAGTGGGTACCAGGTGCAATCCCGGAAAGTAAAGGCGGCTGGCGTGATGCTGACCACATCACCCATCTTGTGCTGATTGGTCTATAAAAATATAGGTCTAGCCCTATATGCCCTATACGCCTAAAGGCCTGGAAAAGGGTCCTTTACTTTTGTTCTTTTTCTGTGACATGTTTTGGAACAAACAGCTTATATATTTTTGAGAATCGGGATGTTTATTTAGGTATTGAATCATAGTTTTTGAATATTGTTTTTAGCAAGACTTTTATTAAACATGCATGTATATAGTCATGCTAGTTTAATGTACAGAGAATTAGAGTCATACCGATATCAAGAAACTGCACAACAGTAACACAACATAATTTATTACTACAAATCTTTAGCAAAAGAATAGTCAAGCTTCATATATATTTTTCTTGTTCTTTGCTGGTTTGTTTTGTAATGGCTTATCCTTTCTCTGTTTTTCATATTTTTTGTTCTTTGTGATCTTCCCGGTTGTTTGATTCCAATGTTTTGACTATTGATAATTACTCTGCTTGAAATGGTTGATTGTATTTTTGTGTCTTTTCCTTCGAGCTGTCTAATCATTTTTTTTTTTAATTTTCTTTGTATTTTTTGAAACACACATTTAATAATCACTTTAGAATGCATGTACTTTGTTAACACTTGGCATTTCAGTTTTTATATATTTATACATATATACAACATTGTTTATATAATATATACATACACACAAATATATATGTATGGGGTAACATACTTGTTTAAACATGGGAAGATATACACCATGTGTGTGTCTGTAAATACACAAACAAATGTTAGTTGCATATTCTTTGCAAGATGTTGCAGAACTAAACCCCGTATTTTGTGATTGTTTGATTTTTACTAGGCAATTTTACATTCAGTAGTTTGCCGTTGCTGCCTAAATGGTTGTCTCTTGATACCATTGTCCAAATCAGCACAGAATTATCTGCTGTAAGATCTTCTGCAGTTGGAATCTATTAGGGCAGTCACAACACTTGAGCCACAGATGTCGAGAGAGACTGACACACGCACAAGCACCTCACATACATGCATCGAACAAAAGCACCTCACGTACACACATCGCACATAAGCACCTCACACACAAGTACCTCACATACATTGCACACGAGCACCTCCCATACATACAAACACCTCACATACATGCACCACACACACAGGCACCTCACATGCCCACACACACACAAGCACCTCACATACACGCATCACACACAAGCACCTCCCATACACGCATCACACACAGGCACCTCACATGCACACACACAAGCACCTCACATACACACACAGGCACCTCACATGCATGCATCACACACAAGCACCTCTCATACACACATCACACATTAGCACCTCACATACAGGCATTAAACACAAGCACCTCAAATCACACACAAGCACCTCACATACATGCATCACACACAAGCACCTTACATACACGCATCACACAAGCACCTCCAATACACGCATCACACACAAGCACCTTACATACACGCATCACACAAGCACCTCCCATACACGCATCAAACACAAGCACCTCACATACACGCATCACACAAGCACCTCACATACACGCATCAAACACAAGCACCTCACATACATACATCACACATACACACACATACAAGGAGAACTCACTAGGGACCAAAGAAATGGTTCTTAAAGAAATTACTCTTATCCAGATAACAGAAATTTACCACATCTAAGAACATAAGTCTTACTCAAAGACGGCATTGGTCCACTGTAACCAACCTTGTTTGTAGAGAAGGCACAGCATTTCTTTTAAACTAAAAAAATAGTTTCATCATAAAGAGTGATTTTCTGGATTTTAAATTGTTATTGTTCAAACTGAGGGCCTAACCGGCTCACTACACTCAGAGGAAAGGCAAGACGGACATATAACCAGACTGTGACCGGCACCATCAGTATTGGAACTCTGAGCTGGCTGCTGAAGATAAGGATGGAGCACACATGGGAATACCCCGAGTGCTGTGATGTCAGTTCTTGATTCAACACAACTAAACTGTTATTATACAAAAAGTATTTAATAGATATTCATATGTGCGTTTTAAAATGTTCGGAAATATGTACAGCTTTAGACTTACATGTGTACTTTTTGATATAGGTGCCATTTGATGTTTAGATTGTATGTAATCACTTGCCAAGTTTTCTAGATCGTGTCCAGAGTTGCAGTTGTCATTGCTGTAGCAACTCTTTCTCAATGCTTTAACCTCACAGTCATACTTTACAATTTTCTGAACATATTAAGACACCAATACGGGAATATCTGTGTGGATTTTCATCATGGTATGGGGCGTCGCAGGTCGACCCAGCCTAAAATGGGTACCAGCATGACTGTCCTGGGAAAGTAAAGACGGCCGGCGTAATACTGACCACATTACCCACCTTGTGCCGATTGGTCTGTAAAAATGGGGCTGCTCTTCCCAAATGCCCAATGCGCCTAAAGGCTTGAAAATGGATCTTTACATATACGTGAATATCAATTAAATGCATCTTTTGTAATAAGTTTAAAATTCCGGCAGTAATTCTCGATAACCCTGTATTTTTGAAAAATTGACATACAGTATTGATTATCAAATACAATATTGATTACCAGGACCAGAAGATATTAAATATTCGTTGTTACTGTTGATCACATAATTGATTCCAACTGACGAGACCATCACATGAAATTTTCAATTGTAAATATGTTATTGTAATGCTGTGGACTCTCTCATTTTCAAGTCTTTTAATCCCAAGCCGTTGTTACCTTAACCACCTTCTGTTCCAAGAAAATGCAGCTACAAGCAATAAATACTTTGGTCTGAGAAAGCTCGACTGTCCTAAATGGGTACCAGGTAAAGTCCTGGGAAGTATAGGCGGCAGTCGGGATGTTGACCACATCATCTGCTGAGAACTTGGTCGATACCAGTGGTCTCCACCCCATCTCCCCCCCCCCCCACCTGCACCCCCCCTCCCCCTTTTTTTTTCTTTCACCCTTGTAACACCCATCCTTCATAACAGAATATGATTAAAACAGATAAGGACAAAAAAAAAAAAAAAAAAAAAAAAACCAAGCACTGTTAACAAGTACTTGGAGAAAAAACATCTTCATAAAACAATGTCAAGTAACAAAAGCAACAATCATCAAAAATTGATAATTGAGTGTCCAAATATGAATGTGTTGATTGACACCAATTTGTCTTGATGATGTCTGCTGTTTTTAGTCTGATGTTGGTCAAGGCACAATGGAGATCACTGTCCACATAAAGCTGGTAACACTATTTTGTTTTCATGACTTGTTAAAGTTCAAAATCCGGATTATTATAAATATACTCAATTTCAACATTGCTTGATATCTCCCTAGATGACTTTCTTACGCCCCCTCCCCCCACCCAGGGTGGAGTCCACTGGTCTATAAAATATAGGTCTATGTCCAATAGGCCTGAAGTTGGATGGGTTTTATAACACCTGTTTGTGTATGGGTTAATCTAACACCTGTTTGTGTATGGGTTAATCTAACACCTGTTTGTGTATGGGTTAATATAACACCTGTATGGGTTAATATAACACCTGTTTGTGTGGATGGGTTAATCTAACACCTGTTTGTGTGGATGGGTTAATCTAACACCTGTTTGTGTGGATGGGTTAATATGACACCTGTTTGTGTATGGGTTAATATAACACCTGTTTGTAGGGGGAAAAAGAGAGCAAGAACATTATATTGTCTTTGCAATGACCAAGAATGTATGGTGAATTGTTTGACAATGAAAGAGTTACCCTGTTGTTTTGTGTTGATGTATTTCGATCACTTTGTACATTGGTGTATATTTTATATAACTCAATTTACCAGATTCGCATTTGTGATGTACACATTATCAACTGAGATATTGAAAGGGCAGGTATCAAATCAAGATTAAACAGCATTAAAAGTCTATGGTTAAGCACCAGCAAGGAGATCAAAATTAGAATTTTGAGAGCATGCATCTTCCTTGTAGCAGTACGGATGTGAGTCGTGGACTATCTCCCAGTCCTTAAGAAAGAGAATAGGGGCTCTTGAGCTGAAATGCTATAGAAAGATTC